GTGATATTGCAACTGAGGGTCTTGGAACATGTGCAAGGAATATTTGCTTGACCATGAACTGCAAATGGTACTCTGTGTTTCCCAGATCTGTTTGCAATATATATGTTAGTGTCCACTGGTTCTATGTTCCCCGGGACTCAGCTTTAATTTATTCAGGAATTATAACACTCATCTAGACCAGGAAAGCGTCATTCAATGAGAAGCACATGATTTCAAACCACGTCCCCATTGGGCGCCACGAAAGCCAAACAAGCCTGTTCGGTTCGGAAACTCAGTTTGGAAGCATCATGGACATATGAGAAGTCCATTGGAATATTTTGGAGATTACCTATGGCCCCCCCATGTTCTGGAGCACTTTGAACTTCGACACTGTGAAATTCGGTGGGCTCAGATCTTGAGCTGACATACTGCCAGAGATATGGAGTACATAGAGGGAGAAATATATTCACGGGCATTCGGTATCCAGTGGGATTGAACCTGTTCAGCTCACTCACGGCGTGCTAGGCTACATTTCTCAGTGGCTGAACACGGTCACATGATCTGATTGGCGCGAGGGATAATGATTTTTTGACTACTGCTACCGCAATGTCGGCTGAGAATCGATGGAACCACGTGAGTCGAGATATATTCGATATACAAGAGAGTCTAGACCAGACATGAGAGAGGGGAAATTGCATAAAAGACGTGAATACAAAATCTTTTGTGCGACACTAGCTATGTACTAGACTATTGGTTCGAATGATGCCTTTGCCAATCCTGGAGAAACCCCTTGAGCTCTGTCGCCTTCGGATCATCCTCGTTGGATCTGGTGATCTGGTCGACAACCTCTTGACTGAAATTGGGGCCTTCAGCGGTGTACGTATTAATGATCTCGATCATCTGGGTAGCTTCAGTAAACGCTGTGTTGCCCATGTCAAGGGCCTTTCGAATAGCGCCTTTAGGGATCATCTGGAGAGGATGGGTTAGATGTAATCAACTGTTCTTCGTTAATGTACCTTGTTAGATATTTCCTTCGGCCAGGGTTTCTTGTAGAACGCTTCATCGACAGCGAACACAAACCTCCAATATTCAACGCGGTCCGCATTTTGGAGAATTTTGTTATGGCTTGAAGTGAACTTCGCATAGCCAGGGCGTGGAGTAATTTTCCCTTTAAGCCACGCAATTTCCTGCGTAGAAGGCTCCCTAATTCGGGTGCTTGCGGCTGAGGTGGAAGTAGGAGGCGGCCCTGGCTGAAGCAGCGTCGAAAAGGCAGCCTGAGCGGCGAGGTCTGCTGTTGGACTATCAGCCCGTGGGAGAATCTATATGGAATGTTAGATAATTGAACGGTGAATGATGGGAGACAGACTCGGTCCACACGCAGATTCAACCGATTATTCTTGGGGATAATAAGAAGAATAGGTTCGGTTACGAGGTTCTCGACGGGTTCAGTGCTATTGAGTTCGACAAAATATTCTGTGTATGTTGGATCCAGACGATCCGGAACGCCGATTCGCGCGGAACCTAATTTACGACAAATAAAATCAAATTAGACAATAGTCGCCGACAGACAGTAATATTTACCACCCAATTTTCCCAATGAGCCTTGCAGTGCTGACAAAATTTCTGAGGCATTGGCGCGCCATTCACCAGCATTGCAGTTGAAATTATCAACAATTTGAACCTCTACACGTTGAGAGGTATTGGTGGGACTGAATGCTGGGCGACGATCATTAATAAGGAGCTGAATTGGACTGAGCAGAGCTTGATCTGGACGGCGGAATTATCAAATTTAATGGGCGCTGAACACAGAAAAGAATTGAATCATACCAGGTCGATTCAGATAGTCTTCTGCATGATTCTGGGGCGTCGTAGACCCCGCTACTCCTGCTATTACTCCAGCTGTACGGAGAGAAATAAAATCGCCGGTCAGACACAGAGAAGAAGAGAGGAAGTATTCAATGAATTTATTCACGAACCAATGGGACCGGCCACCGAACGAACGGGATCAACAGAATTGCCGACTGGAGATGACGCGACTGCGGCCAATTAGAAGCGAGAAGACAGGTAATTACTGACACGGACCGATGGGATTAGTCGCCACGACAGTGATGGTCACATTGGTTTGATTACTTGCAGTGAAGCCATAAGTCGGGTCAAGCAAAACAGCCTTCAACTTAGGCATATTTTCCTTGCTTAATTTCCCTGGTGGATACGGCCACTTATCCATTTGGCGCGCAATGAGAGCAACAAGCTCTCCGCGCTTCAAGTTTACGCTGAGAATAAACATAGTAAGTTTAAGGTATTCAAGACAAGTGCAGCTTACAAGTCTTGCTCGGTGTAGGGTCGTTCCATGGAGTAAGTGTGCGACGATGGAGGGGAGAGGAGAAGGGGGAGAACACCTCCTCTGTTTCCCCCTCACATCGTCTAGGACCCCGGAGGTGTGATTCCAAATCGGGCCGCGGAACGAGTATTCCCCGTTCCTCGATCGAAAATCTTTCGGTGTGACAGGCCAAGAGACCTCGAACGACAGGAGCGGAACATCACCGATCGGCAATGTGTCGATTGAGGCCTCAGAGAGTACCGTTCCGTTCGTTCGGCAGTGCCGAAAGCGGCAATCAGGCCCAAAAAGGAAAGCGGATCAGCGGGGTACCCAGCCCACTGTATTACATAACGTACCCGTGGTTCCCCAGGCGGTACCCACGGTCCAGGTACATCTATCTATACATGAAGAGACAAAGGACACTGCCACCGGAAGTCACCTGAGAAATCACCTGAGAAATCACCTGAGAAATCACCTGAAGAATCACGAGATGCTGTCGAGATGTTGCTGCCGGCTGTCGAGATGTTGCCCCCCGAGTCCCACGCTTGCCGGCGCCGCTCCCGCGCAGCCGCAGTCAACTCCGACCGATCTCCGCTCCATCTGCTGTCAATCCCTGCATCGACCTCGAGCATCCCTCGACGCCGATTCATCTTGCTCTCGACCCCCTCATTCTCTGTGGCTTTCTGTGGTTGAAGGTGAGCTGTCAAATAATCCTGTTGCTCATTCTCTTTCCTACTTATTCTGTTTTGGCAGTTTCTCCCTCACTGTGTTTGCAAGCCCCTATCTTGGTCTGCATAGCTTTTTATATTATAAATCATGTGGATTAATCACGTGACCTTTCCCTCAGCGGCGATCAGGCTGCTCCTTGCGAGGTTGTCATTTAACCCAGCCTGCCACTGCCCTCATCTCCACTCAGACTGCCTCAGGTGTGCCCCATCTCTCATAGATTTTGCTGTCCTCTCAAGTTCTGATTTCAGTTTCCAGTTCAACTGTCTACCCCTATCTGTCAAGATTTTACTGCTCGAGCCCGCCATGAGGATTGCATCTATCCCATCTTGCTTCTTCCCCTCATCTCCTCTTTGCCTACCTCAGGTATGTCTCTTATATATTTTGCCCTCCTCTCAAGTTTTGAATTTATCTTTCCAACTTTCTGCCCCTATCTCTCAAGATCTTTCTTTCATGTCTGTCCCTGCCTTCTGTATTTGCTGATTCTGCTCTTCTGATTTAAATTCTCTGTAGCCTATCCCTGAAATGCAAGCTTTTTCTGAAATAAAAAAATTGACACTGATAATTGACTGTCTAAAGGGATCAAATATATCTCCACCTTCAATCTTTAGCTGTTTATCTTCAGGTTTTGTGAGAGGTATCTTCAACATGTGAAGATGATTAATCAAAGATGCCTTAATTTCCGGGGCAGATTTGAAGCCGTGAGGGAGTCCGCGAGAGGGGATGGGCTTATGCAACATTGTTTACATCCGACTTTGGCGGGTGATCAATTTGACTCAAGTCCGACTGCTGATTTTCCACAGAGATGGAAACCCGTCGATTGATTATGGAAATATAGGAGTGCCCATCTACATCATCTAAAATTCTTTGATCTTTTTCTCAAGGCTATTAGGCAAAAGATAAGTTTGGAAGTGCACAATATTGCTCTGTACCAATGTCTTTGCTCATGGGCAGCTATATGTAGCATTTTCCCAATGCACTTCGAGTCAACAGATTAAAGCACTATTCAAAAATGATGCCAATACGGCCACCAGAAATATAGTATACCCTGCCTGAAGTGCTTTTGGTACGTATCAGCCCGAAAACTTAACTAAACTCCCATCATGCTGGACATGTAGTTTTTGTATGTAGAGTCCTCAAACTCATTATATGGAATTTAGTTATTGGCTCCCTGTGAAACTTACTACTGAGATGCGGAGCCCCCACCCTGGGGTTTGGGGCAGAGCCCCAACAAGCTGTCGCCCGGCCGGAGGAACGGCTGCGAGCGCAGCGAGTCAGCCGTGCCGAAGGCACGGGTCGTAAAGCTTGTTTTCTATATAAGAAGAGAGGACGGCACAGCCACTTTAATAAGTCACCTGATAAAGTCACGAGGTGTTTCCCACGGATCCCACGGGAGGCGCCGCGCGCCGCGAGCGTTAGCGAGCGGCAGTGCGGCACCTCTCTCGGAATCCGCCGTGTGCGGGCGAGCTCGGAATCCGCCGTGTGTGGGCAAACTACCGTGCCGAAGGCACGGGTCGAATATACTTGTATATATATAAGGTAGCGGACAGGCAAATACGGTTACCCCACGTGACCTGCCTTTTTGGGAGGTTTTCAGAGTTGGTCCTCGATTTCTCTGTTCTCCTTGAGAAAATACAGAATCTTGTAAAACAGAATTGTTCTAATTTGTCCCAGTAGCATTGTTAAATATTTCTATGAGTTTCAGTTCAGAATTGAAAGACTAGTTCCAAAAATCATCATTCGACCTCGATTTGGGAACTAGTCCCCCATTTCTCGTCCGAAAATCCCCAAAATATTTGGGAGACTTCTCATGGCAAAATGGAATAATTCTGTTTTGCCGGATTTCTTATTATCGGCCCTCAAACCTCGATTTTCTGAAATACTGTCCCGTTTTGGGCAAAACGGGTTGTCACGTGGGGTAACTGTATTTGCCTGTCCGCTACCTTATATTCAGGTATACACCAAGCATGAGGAATTGGATGTGGTGTATGGTGCACGCCCGCTTCTACTGGAGCTCAGCGAAAAGCGCGAAGTCAAACGGGAGGCCTGGGTTCGATTCCCAGCGTCCAAATTTGCCTCAGCCATCCATGTTGCCTTTTTTCTTTCTCTCTTGAAACTTGGCATCAGGATGAAGAATCCTCGCGGTCTCAGGCTCACACTACGCCTCTGCCTGTAACGCGGGAAACTAAATATGCGACCTGATTGGCGGAACTTGGACCGGGGAAATGTAGGTCGTACTGGGTTGGGTTTCCCTTCCGGCTTGGGACGGATGCCTTGTGCAGAATATCTTTAGGTACGCAAGGCTGAAAGGAACTCGGATGTGATGTACGGTGCATGCCCGCTCCTTGTGTTTTCTCTTTCATTTCGTGATGCGGAGAGCTTGGGTTCGAATCCCAGCGTCCGAGTTCAGCTCAGCCATCCAACTTAGCTTTTTTCTCTCTTGGAACTTGAGCATCATGATAACACTGCGGGAAATTACCGTAACGGTCAAAAACTGACCGCTACTGTAACGGTTGACTACCGGCTGCCCACCGGTTGGTCATTTCGGCGCGAACGGCACGAGAGATCACATCTGATCTCTCGTTTGATCCGAAAAATCTCTGATATGCCTTCTCTTATTATATCCTTTTATTATTGAAGTTGTGTGGGCAAGTGGTCAGTTAAAAAAACCGGGCCGGTGCCCAAAATAGACCCCAAGACCCCTCAACAGCGTGGAGTCCTCATGTTATGCCAGAATATAAAAATAGATCACAAAGAGAGATCAAAATGTTGTGATCCCTGCCGATGTGCCGAAAGTCCCAACCGCTAATCGACCGGTGCGCGACCGGTAGGCAACCGTCACAGTGACGGTTGGCTTTTGACCGTTATGGTACTGTAATTGCCCGCAGTGTAAAGAATCCTCTCGGTCTCAGGCTCACACCACGCACCTTCCTGTAACCCGAGGATATGGATTCATATGCCACGCGATTGGCGGGAACTTGGAATATAGAATATAGGTTATGCTGGGCTGGGTTTCTCTTCTACCTGACTGGGGCGGATGGATTTTGCAGAATATATTCAGGCACGGAAGGTTGAAAGGAACTCGAATGTAGTGCATGGTGCACACCCGCTCCCTTTGTTTGTTCACAGAGCATTTAGAGGCGGGAGGCGGGAAGCTTGAGTTCAACTCCCAGCATCCGAGCTGTCCATGCGTGTTGTTCTTTTTCTACCTTCAACCCAGGGCAGCTACAAATCTTTACCACCTTCCTCCCACCAACAAATTTGGATTTGGTATTGAAGAGCAACGGTCAGGATGTGAATATGGCTCGATTTTCTTCTTTCTTTCTTTCCTTCCTTAACGCGGTGTTCTTCCTTCTACTAGGCTATGTATATATTCAGGTATACAGGCAGTGAAGGACTGAGACGTGGTGTATGGTGCACGCTCGCTCTATTTAAGAGAATTGGGGTCAGAAGTTGGTGCGGGAAGCCTGGGTTCAATCCCCAGCGTCTGAATCCCAAAGATGTCCCCTTTTTGGTTCAACTCTTTTTGTGATCTGTGCTGCAGCGTGCATAATCCTCTCGTTCTCGATCTCAGACCAAGCCCTGCTCCGGGTTCGCGAAGCCCCTCACCGGGTGAATTCCAAGTCCACATGATTGATGGGAACTTCGAAATGCAGACGATGTTAAATTTGGGTTGGATTTCCCTTTCGGCTTGGGACGGATGACTTTTGCGGAATATGTTCAGGTAGGTAAGGGTGAAAGGGACTCGGATTTAGTGCACGGCGCACACCCACTTCCAGTACTCTCCCCGAGATTATACTTAAAGTTGGAAGCCTGGGTTCAATTCCCAGCGGCAGAATACAATAGGTCAGCAGTTGTTTTTCGTGTAACCGGTTTAGGATCCTTTGGGAGTACGCCCAACTCCTCTCTTTCGACCACCCATGGCAGCCGATTTTCCAGCCCGTCCGATGGCGAAAATGCAGGTAATATTCGGTTAGATTTCTCTTCCGAGTGCTTCTCAGATTTATTATTTTGGCAGCATGTGTTCAGGTATGTGTTCAATCAGGTACACATGCGACCTAGGAACTCGGAATTGGTACACGGCGTACACCCATTCTCCCCCCACCTTGACTCGATCTAATTCCTTCGGAATCGTTGGAGTTTGGTCCTCCCATGGTCGACAGCGCTGGTCTCTAAGTAAGTATAATTAACTCTTCCTTCTCTATGATGATTTTGTACACTATATACAGGTACATCGGGCAGAGTCTGTTTGACGTAGCAGGCATTCCCCTGTGGGCAGTCGGGGTGCGACCCCCAGGATCCGACTATGAGTTGGTAAAGTTTCTTTTTCAACCTGCACACAGTCAAGGCTTACCTCGGCAGGATGCAGTGCTCTGCCTCTCAAGCCGGGAATACAAACGGTTAGCCCACCCGTTCAAAAAAGAGTCGGCAATGTCAATGAGGCAATGTTGAATTATATTCTCCCTGCTTTGCGGGCGGTTCAACTGCATGTTAATCAAGTAAATAAATCGGCTTCCTACCTATCCCGCTGTCTATATGGTGGAGCCAATTGGCCCGGTACACGGCACACATCAGGTCTCGCTGCAGATATTTATGATCTTAGGGGAGAAGTCAAATGAAGTGGGAGGCCTGGGTATCGGATTGCCTTCCTTGGAAAGTGCCAGAGGACGCTAGCATTATGGCCAGACATCCAGATGAACTCAGGAGTGAAGTCATCGGATATTTTAGGGGGAATTTAGAGTGTATTCAACCAAAGAGGCCGGGTTCGGCAGGCCTTGGCAGGTGCATCGGAAATTCCCGAGTTCTCAACCCTGGCGGAGAACCCACCGAGAACTCAAGAGTTTTTTTTTTGTGCCCGCCTCTTTTTATCAAAGCGACATATACATTCACAACACTACTTCGAGGATTCTACATTAAAATCACTGAACCCAGAACCGTGACCGGCACCGTCGCGTAGAACAGTTGCCAACCCGTGGAGATCTTTCTCGAATATGTTCTTCAACCCGGTCCAGTACTGAAATTCGTCCAAATATGGCGATTTTGCGCATGAGTTCGAGTCCCATCATGTGCGATTTTATTTTCATTTACTTTCTTGCCAAATCCAACAGGAGGTGATTGGTCTAATATTATAAAATGTATTTGGGGCTCAACTGACATGCCTAGGGCATGTATTTCTTGATATTAAGTTGCCTCTCAAACAAACCTTCAATCTCGAGTGATCTCCCCCAAAGTGGTTGCCAAAACTTCCGTTCAAACAAGAGAAGAATTCAACCAAAACTCTGCTTTAACCCTTTTCAATTATTCCACCCGGCTCTGGAGTTAATGCCCATACATAGGTAGGGATACTCACCGATGAATTACCCCAGGCAAAGATGTTGCACCCAATTGAGTTCCAATTCCTTTGTTCACTTAAGGCTTTCCTAGAACATTCAATTTCATCAGGTAGTGCTCGCTCTGGCTGATGGTATAAAACCCCCAAGAAATTCAACATGCAGCGGTGTCTGGTCGCTCAATCTGGTAAAATCCTTGGAACCTGGATTGATCTGGAGTCAACTGAGTATATTATGCTCAGACCTGCATCCCATCGAGATTCAGATCCATCAAAATTTAACAGGGTGTGTGTTACAATCAGCTGTGACAGTCTTTAACCTGCCTCCAATGAGATGTAACCAAAACCAAGGGCCAACTCATTTCAACTTGGTGAGAAGGCAACACACACTCTAGAGTCAATATGAATTTGTCTCTCTGTGTTGGAACAGCTCTGAGCACCCGACATAGTCGGGGCTTCCTGGCCCAATGCGGGCTGGTAAATGTGACAACAGAGCGAGATTTGGGCTCGAGAGGGATTGCATGTCCTTTGGCAATACTATTATGTTACATGTGGCTGGCCCCAATTTAAAGCACTCTCGGCTTGGCTTGGGTACGACCTGTTGCAAAAATTGGGAGAGCTCAGGTCCTAAGGCCCCAACCCTTTCCGTTTTTAAACACTGGTAATGGTCAAAACCATTCATTTTTCCATTTAGTTTATGGACCTTAGGAAACGGTAAATAAATGGAAAAGTAAACAGTAAACAGTTATGTTTTTGAGAGGTAGGGATTGGGTAGGGACGGAACTTCAACTTAGGCACGTAACGCGGCTATCTTGTGATTCTTCGGTGTCCGGATCAACAAATTACTTGTTTGTTCTGTTGTCACTCGCCGCTCACTTTGCCTATGCCTGCCTGGGCTGCAATGAAAACCCCCTGTCGGTCTCCGATGCCCGTGAAACAATTACGAGCAATTACACAATACCTTGACTCATCCTTGGCGCCACCTGGCGCATAAACTCGTGATATCTGTGACTGGACACATCTCACCTCTCACACTCGCAAAGTTGTTGATGCACCCCTCGCGCGACCTTAGCCAGGCCACTATTAAAAAGCCCGCCGAAATCAACAACCGTCCTCCAGTGTCACTGATGCTGCTAACGGTGAAGCACACAGCGCCGCACATCGGAATGTTATTGCCAGTGAGTTCTGTATCTGCACGCATCAAGCTTCCGCGAGGCATCAAATTGTTTGCTCGTCTGCGTCCCGGATCCACCGCTGCATTCCTCGTCAATGTCTGTATGGTGGACTCGGAATCTGCTGACAATACTCCTCTGGTTGGCGGTGTGATTGAGATTGACCAGTTTTTCAGATACGATCATGAAGGTGATGCTTGCCAAGATGTAGATTAAGGCGGGGTTCTTGGGCTACTAATATCATGGTCTGCAGTAAGTAACCCATATAGCGTGTACAGCCTCTAAAAAATACTGTTTATGAACTGTTTTAAGCTGTTTTAAATTGTTTTCGCACTGTTTCCGTTTAGTTTACGCCCGAGTGTAAACAAAAACTAAATGGTTGGAGCCTTACCGGGTCCGTGAAGTAAGTAAAGGCTAATTTTCTCCAATGTAGCACTGAATTAAATACTTAGTTAGTGGGCTCTGCCGCAAAGCGCGCTACAATTGTTATACAAGACCCTAGTCACAGTGGTGCATCACCCTCCCGAATGATTTCCCATTCTGAGCGAAAGAGCAAATAGGACACGCAGA